CGCTGGCCGACGCTCAAGTCTTCCTTGACCCCTATGAGAGTAGACAGCTGACACTTCCTTCTTTCCCGTGAAAGGTTTTCTGATGGCAGCAGAAGTAGATGCATCTTTTTGAATTTTCCCGCTTTTTATACCGGCCGCCACTCTTTCTCCGATTAGAATCAAATCAGTGAACCCAGCGGACGAACTTCCAATCAGGTGATTGAAGAAAGGACCTGACAGGGTACCCAGGAACATGTCCACTAGCTCTCTTTCTGACAATGGTGGTTGCACCCTTCCAGCTAAGTCCCTCCACTTTTGGGCGTAGTCTTTGAAGCCCTCATTGGTAGCCATAGCCATACTCTGTAGCTGAGTACGGGTTGGCGCCAAGTCGGCGTTGTATTGATACTGTTTACAGAAGGCGGCTGCCAAGTCTTCCCAATTATGGATGTCTGCTCTCTCCAACTGGTAGAACCAATCAAGCTGTGTTCCTGACAAACTGTCTTGGAAAAAGTGGACCCACAAATTTTTGTCAGCAGAATGCGGTTGAATTTTCCTGACATAAGATTGTAGGTGCATCTTGGGACAAGACACCCCATCATACTTGGAAAATAGAGGTACTTTAAACTTAGGTGGGATTACTATTCCAGACACCAAACCTAACTCCTCAAAGTCCAGCCCCGGTACTCTCTGCACTTCAATAGCAGCTAGACGCTCTTCCAAGTTTTTGTATTTGTCATCGGCCGGAGGGTATTGTTGTTTGGAGTAGTCCTCATCTTCCTCTTCTTCTGCTTCAGAATCAGATGGCACTGTCGTTCCTTTTCCTTTTCCTTCCCCCTCTTCAGATGTTGATGGGAATTCCAACGTCCGTCTGGCTTGTCCTTAAAACCTTTTGCCCATGATAACCACACCGGCTCGCTTCTTCTTCTTTTTCTCTTTCTCTTTCTCTAGCAGAGTCTTCTTGCACAACCTGTTCCTGCTAGCAAGTAAATACATCATATCTAACATATTGTTGCTCTATTAGTTTTGTCAAACATAATGACAATCACATAATTCAGAGAATTAATAAAGCTAGTTAACAATACAAAAAAATTCAAAGAAAAAGGGAGCTTTATAGAAAAAAATTAAAGACAGGAAGTCATAGGGATGCCTGGAGAGATTTACGTCAGACATGGTTAAAGGTATTGTTAGGAGTCTCACACATGTGCTTATAAGTGGAGAAAATCCTCATTCTATAATCCGATTTTTTAGGGTTTAGTTAAGCCCAAGTCACACATTCTAAGATGGTATAAGAGCTCAATTTAATATCCGTTGGGCCACTCCGCTATTATCAGATCACCCACCATTTAGTTCCACGCTTCAATTGTTTAATCTTGGATAGTGTGTGAGGGGGTGTTAAGTTATAAGTGGGGGCAATCCTCATCCTACAAGCCGGTTTTATAGGGTTGAGTTATGTCCAACCCACACATTCTAAGAGGTATACAAGTCATTTGAATTGCCTAAATTGTTGAAAAAGAATTATAAGTGTGAGTAGTGTGGGGAAGTCCCACACACCTATCACTTTAAGATTTTGGGTGAGTATGTGGTGTGTCTCTCATATAGGTGTGTTGCTTAAAAGGAAAGTCCACAAGTATAAAGATGCTCCCTCGTTGACCCCCCGGATTTGTGCATCAACATAAATCAAAGTAAACTAATTCAACCATATATGTTATCCATACATAGTGAGTTGTTGCATTTTATAGGACTTAACAAAAAACAAATAACTAAAGACATTGTTATACATGGGATTCAAACCTTTTTTTCATAAGCTCCTTAGTTTAAGCAAGTTCATCAAATTTGGGATTGCTTTTATCACCATTTTTAACACCAGTTGAAGGAAGACCCATGTATCTCTTATTGGTTTTAAGCAAAAAAAACAAAAAACAAAAATAATGTGTCTTTTATTTATTTTAGACCAAAAATATAATAATCGCTTTGCATGTTTTTGGGCTTCATTATGCGAGTCGATTATGGAGTGAAAGAAAGTCATAAAGAAGGCCTTTAATGGTGGTAGGAAGCCAATTATGAGGTGTGATGTTTTCATTGTTAAGGATAAACCTGATAGAGGGGGAAAAGATGGGAGTTCTTCAATGTACTTTTATGAGATTTCTGATCATTTTGGGGAGAAAGAAGTGTTTGAAACTTTGAAGAATCATGGGAATCTGATGAAGTTGTTATCCCTCCTAAGAGGAATATATTCATATTTAGAGAAGTAGAATATATCAGATTACTTGCGGTCAAGTTGGATAACATCTTCATTGAGAACAAGAAGATATATGTGAATGTTCCTAGATTTGGAAGGCAATCGGAAGTAGGACGAGAACGCTTTTTAAAGGCAATGGTTCAAGGAGGTAGCAGAAACCAAAGAAGGTTCGTTCCAGGTACGAAAAATCGAGTTTTTGTGGAAATAGTAAAAATTGAGTTTTGTCATAATTATAAAAAAATCGAGTTTTTTTGAAAAAATGAAAAATTGTGTGTTTTTTTCGGAAATATAAAAATCGAGTTCTTTTCGGAATTAGGAAAATCGAGTATTTCAAAAATATGAAAAAAAAAATCGAGTTTTTTAGGTAATACGAAAAAGTCGAGTTTTTTTCAAAATTATGAAAAAAATCGAGTTTTTTTGGAAATACGAAAAAGCAAGTTTTTTTTCTGAAATTCGAAAATCGAGTTTTTGAGAACTATGAAATAATTGAGTTTTTTCAGTAACACAAAAGATCAATTTTCTCGAAAATACGAAAAAATTGACTTCTTTCGAAATTACGAAAAAATCGAGTTTTTTTTAAACTACGAAAAAAATCGAGTTTTTTCAGAAATACGAAATATCAATTTTATTTCTGAAAACGTAAAAAAAAAATTTAAAAGTTAATGAATATATTGAAATTAATAGATGGATGGATATCCATCGATGAAAATGATGTTAATTGATGGATTGAATGAATTTTATCTTGAATGGATGATTCGATTGGATATTTTTAATGAAGTTTTAGTAGATTGTTAATATATTAATGAATTATTTTGATTCATCCATTAACAATTCAATTTGTTCTAGACTGACCCAATAGCTAAGCATGGCTCAATATACTTATGCATGTAGGACGGTCCAATGACCTTGTCCCAATTAAACATGAAGGATAAGGGACACTTTATCCCTTCTGCATCTCACCCGATGAGCCCTGGTCGGCTGACCATCAGGGTCTGCACGGTTACTTATGCCCACTCAAACGAGTCGTTCCTCATCATTCTCAGCCGCACGAGGATAGCCATCCAGGAACGACCAGAAATCACGCTTTCCCATGAGACACTTCTCAGCCCGTTGTAACGGCTAGTTACGAGCACCTCTACCCGTTACAACGGCTAGTTCCTGGTCGTTACCTATTTTTGAGAAACCTCATATCTATGCCCAAAAATAGGAACCAATGGCCAAATATCGGGGGCGCTATATAAGCTCTCACACTCGTGAGGGCCCGATATCCAATATTCATTCTAGAACTCTAATCTCTTTCTTGTATCTCTTTGCACTGTTATTTATTTGTGCGTCAGAGTGCATTGCAGGTACACCCCCTTCTATTCGTTTCCAACTTTACAGACGTTGTCTGTCAATCCACTTCAGATTCTGATTAACCGGAAACATCATAATTCATATCCGTCTATTTTACCACAAGTGTAATAATTTTTTAAATAGGACAAATGTTATGTTTTGTTTCATATACCTATGTTCGTTTCACATGGATTACTGGTCGACTAAGACACAAACATATATTAGTACAAGTTCGACAACTACAAACCAGCAATGAAAAAAATAACGAGTTTATCTATTAATTTATTTGGACACTCGCGATCGGACTTAATAAACACTTTTTGTGGTTTAAATTTTGTAGACATTTGGTTCTTTTTATATGATTAAAACTCTTGCTATTCCCTTAAAATCTTCACATGTCAAGAAACAGGTTCAAAATTCAATGTATTTGGAATTGTCGGAACAACAATTCTAATTTAAAACAAAACAGATACAGAAAAAATACATAATGAGAACCCACGATATTTAATAAGGAAGTTCAGTCAATTGCGTCTCCAACTGCAGAGCAGCAGCAGTTCCGTAGTATTAATCAATTCATGAAAGAAGAAGTATTTCAGCTACTCACCAAGACATGATGCTTGTGCGAATATGACCAACTCATAATCTATAAGCATGCTAGGAATACTCATTTTTCCAATACTCTTTTCCTCGTTTCTTCCACACACTTGATTCCAATAACAAACAAAAATTGATTCAGTTCTTCAAGAGAGGAGGCAAACTTTGGCTCTTCTAACAACCAAGTTGAAGTCACTTTCCATCCAAGTATTCTATAAAGATTTGAGATGTGTAAAAATGAGTAGAAACATTGAAACTGATCCATTGAAACTGCATTCGGGGCATGATTTTTCACCTCTTTTGGAAAAGCACAGCAATGTTGAGAAAGCCCTGTTATAAAACCATAATTTGGCTACTTATGAATAGAAACAACATGCAGCAAAATTCATAGACTAAATTAGTCCACATTCTTAATGACTTCCATGCATTGAAAGTTGGGATTCAACTTCATATACAATCATATTAAATCATCAAATTAACATGCTTTGCAATTTTCTTTCATAACTTGGGGATTAAGCAACAGAATTGCAACTGTCACATAAAACACACTCAATGTTCATTTGTTCACTTTTTTTTTTTCCACAGAAAAGTAAAAACCGCCATGACCTCATGAATTGTTCTATTAAAAAACTAAAAGTTAATAACTAGAATCACATTGGTAAAAAGTACTATAATAACTTACATTGTTAGCCTTCTTGAGAAACCTTGATGTGTGAACTGTGAAGGAGGAAGCATTTGATTTCAATTTGAGCCCCCAGAACCAGAACCTGGATTAGGAAGAAAATGTTTATTGATGAGATTTATAACAAGAAACAAGAAAGGAGTATTTTGGTGACTCACTTTGATGTAACACTCATTGGTAGACGTGATAGTCTATACATATGTAGGGAATGTGAGAAATCTTACTCCACTCTTTCCCTGTCCTCGACTGCAATTTTCCTCTCAATAACGGACAGTCAACGATATACAATTCTTTAAGAGTGAAAGGCAACTCCCCCTCTTCTGGCAACGACTTGAGAAGATTAGCGTGAGAAATCTCAAGTTTTTGGAGAGAGGTGAGATGTTGAAGCCACTTCCCATACAAGCATTTTATATCTTTAAGCCCAGAGATCTCTATGGATACGAGACTAGTGGGTAGAACCGGAACATTCCTTCTCATCAGCGCCTTCACAATATCATCACCTCGAATATCCAGCTTTGAAAGAGAAGTGAGATTTTCCCAAGTTGTATTCCACGAAACCCCTCCAACATTGCCAACCCGCAACTCTTGTAGACTGATGGGCAAGGAAAACGATTGCAGATTTGGAAGGCCAATAATTTCCATGTTTTGAAGGCTAGTTAGAGTATTTGTTGATTCGGGTAGAGAACGGAACTTTTCACAATTAGTCACTCTTAAATCAGTGAGGTTAGGACTGAGCAATCCACTTAGTGAAGAAACTGACTCTAGCTCATTGCAATTCCCTATGTTGATTGTTTCAAGAGACAAGAGATTCTGATTTGATGCATCTTCAGCGAGTAATATAGATTTTAAACATGCACAGTAATAAATAGTTAGATTTTTGAGGACCGGGAGAGAGTGCAAGGTAAATGATGTCACTCGATTACAACTACGATAGATTTTCAAATACTCAAGTGATGTGTAATTGTGAAAAGAATCATGAGAAAGGAACTCCAAATTCTCACAGTCTTGAATTATGAGAGATTGTAAGGTTTTGGGAAGACCGTCTCTGCGAAAGTAAGTTAGAGATGGAATGTTGAGTAGGGTCATCTTTTGAAGAGAATTGATTTGTTGATGTTTCGGCAGGTTTTGTTTGATGGTTTGAGGCCTTTGAAGGTTGTGGATTTGGTTCTTACTGTTGGCTTTGTAACAGTTTGGCCTTGACAGGTTTTGAAGGTTATTGATTTTGTTGACAGTTTGGGATTTTTTGTTTGAACTGTTTGACACGTTTGATGAGTTTTATGATGGTTTTAACAGTTTGTTACAGGTTTTAGATTTGAGGATGGTTTGCGATTTTTGTGAGTGTTTGTTAACAGCTTGCAGGTTTTAGGTTTTTGGGTGTTTATCAGGTTTTGACAGTTTGGAGGTTTTGGTTTGTATGTTGCTGTGTGTTTGAATATTTGGGACTTTTTACAGTTTCTGAGTTTGATAATTTTCTCTCTCTATGCTTGAGAATTGTGTCTACTGTTATATTAGTGTTACTTCTGTTGAATTCTTATTCAAAAAGGGGGGAAAACAAAAATTGAATATTTTGCTATGTTGTTCCTTTGGTTTTTTGATGGCAGTTTTGTTTTCTAGTAGCTTCTACTCAATTGTGACAGTCAAGGCAGCAGGGCTGTGCATCCCTAGGTGACTTCTTTCCTCTCTTCTCTCTAAATGACCATAAGAGTCAATTGCTCTTTTGCATTTTTCTGAAAAGTTTGCAATAAAATGGAAAATGATGACTTAGCATATTGAACAAGCCTCTTGCTTGTTTGACTTAGTTTATCATATTGCTATACTTTTGTTTGTTGATGTTGTCTAGCTTATGTTGTTGCCTCGTTTGCACTTTGTATTGCCATACTGCTGTTTGTTTTTGCTGTTTGGCTCATTGTACGCCTTCTGTTTGGAATATTTGTTTGGCTGTTGTTTGGGCATTTGGCTGCTATTTGGGCATTTTGTTTGGACAGCTTGCTTGCATTTCTTTTGTTTGGACAGCTTTGTGGTATTTTCTTTTGTTTGGACAGCTTTGTGGTATTTTTTATTTCTTATTTTGTGAACCAAGAAGAATAATTCTCTTGTGATTTGCAAATAGAGAAAATAAAAATGTGATGAATTAAAAATGGCCTTCTGATTCCAAATTGCAAACTTTAATGATGAATAGCATTCTTTCTTTTGAAAATTCTTGCTCATGCCCAAATAATTGTGTACTAATCATATTTCCTTTCTTTCATTTTCATGTGAGCACAATGGAGAGGACAAAGCAGGGGAAGCAAGAGACTCTGTGGCAAGCATGGAAGCAAAGGAACCTCAGTCAACCTTAGGCATAGATCCATAGGGATTTTCTTTGGAATTTAGAGAGAAACATTCTTGTATTGTAATCAACAATTGTACTAATTTATTTTTTTTAAATACCATAAGTTGTAAAACATAGAGTATTTAAAAGAACAAATTATTTTGTAACAATGTTTGAAAAAATGGAGAAAGTCTTATGAGATATTCTGGTGTCCATTGAAACCCTTTACTGTCAATAACTTGTAATTTTCTCTTCGCATCTTGACTGATTCTTAAAGATTCCCAATCAAGATAATTGAAACAAAATGCTCCAATCTGATAACTTAAACTCCAAGTAATCCAATAATTTTGTAATTGCATTTCAAAAAAGCACGCACTGTATATTCCATCTCCTAACCAAGCAAATGTTTTAAAAGACGCAAACCATCTGGTTAACCTGGATCCAAATCATGGTCGTCCCAAATGGCAGTCTTAAACTCCATCTCTTGTCTCCAACAAACCATGCTCTGAGAATAAACATTAACCTTTCCAGTAAACTTGAGGAGGCATGAAGACCTGTGAAACTCAATTGAATTTCTGAGAATTCACTTTCTTCTGAGAATTGCAAGAAAAACCCTAATTACTGGTTTACTTCCACAGCAGAGAACCTGCCTGGTCGATTCCTGAGCCAACTTGAATATCTGAGAAACCCTGGGGTTGTGTCTTCTTGAAAAATGGGAGGGCAAATTTTGGGGTACAACAGCTGCCCCTGTTCAATCTTCTTGAACTTGAAGAGTTAGATTGGTGAGTATTGTCGTTCGTGACTCGAAGGTAAAAGATGATTGGACACTAGAGTGCCCATAAATTTGCACTCGACAAAGGTGTAGCTGAGGGAATGGGCTTAAAGATGCCATTTGGAGAGGTGTTAGATTCTTGTTGGAGATGGGCTTGTAGATGCCATCCAAGAATGTTTTTTGTAAACCACAAGAATAAGCATCAGAATGGTGTCCGTATTTGGAACGTATCTGAATTGCATCTGTACTTGAATCCGAATAAGCGACAGAATGGCTTCCATGTCTGGAGCGTATCTGGACCGTATCTGTAGGATGAAACTGAATAAGCGACAGAATGGCTTCCGTGTCTGTAGCGTATCTGAACTGTATCTGAACTGTATCTTAAAATTAAGTCTGAATGATTAACATAATGACTTTCGTGTCTGGAGTGTATCTGTACTATATCGGTACTTGGAGTTTGAATAAGTATCAAGACGGCATCCTTATCTGGAGCGTATCTGAACTGTATCTGAAGTTGAGATCTGAATGAGTGACAGAATGACTTCCGTGTCTGGAGTGTATCTGTACTGTATCTTGAAATTGAAATCTGAATGAGTGATAGAATAACTTCCGTGTCTGGAGTGTATCTGTACTGTATCTGAAATCTGGGGTCTGAATGAGTAACAGAATAACTTCCGTGTATGGAGTGTATATGTACTGTATCTGTATTCGAATCTGAATAAGTGATAGAATGACTTCTGTGTCTGGAGTGTATTTGTACTGTATCTTGAAATTAAGTCTGAATGAGTAACATAATGACTTCCGTGTCTGAGGTGTATCTGTACTGTACTGGTACTTGGAGTTTGAATAAGTATCAGGACGACATCCTTGTCTGGAGCATATCTGAATTGTATCTGAAGTTGAGATCTGAATGAGTGACAGAATGACTTTCGTGTCTGGAGTGTATCTGTACTGTATCTGAAATCTGGGATCTGAATGAGTAACAGAATAACTTCCGTGTCTGGAGTGTATTTGTACTGTATCTGAAGTTGAGATCTGAATGAGTGACAGAATGACTTCCGTGTCTGGAGTGTATTTGTACTGTATCTGAAATCTGGGATCTGAATGAGTAACAGAATAACTTCTGTGTCTGGAGTGTATCTGTACTGCATCTGAAGTTGAGATCTGAATGAGTGACAGAATGACTTCCGTGTCTGGAGTGTATCTGTACTGTATCTGAAATTGAAATCCGAATGAGTAACAGAATGACTTCCGTGTCTGGAATGTATCTGTATTGTATCTAAAATCATTGAATATTTGTTAAAGATGGTTGTTAATCTTATCCTGAAAAGGGTAAAATGTTAGCTGAAATATAAAGTTATGTTGCATGAAATGTATGATGCAATAAATGTGTTTTATCCATGTCTATGATATATGGATGTAATGTATGCGCATGTAAGCTGATTTGTTGTATTGCTGAGGAAAATGACTGCTGCTGAGGAAAATAAATCCTTGACTGCTACTGGGGAAAATAAATCCTTGACTGCTGAGGATTCCGTTGTGAGAGTAGTGCCATATACTTCTTGAGGAATCTGCTTGGGGAATCCAGAGAATTTCAGTGACTTCTACTAGGGATTATTGATGGGAGTCTTTGTTCTGTCGAGAAGCAATAAAAACTCTATGGGGAAAAAGTTTATCCTATAGTGAAAACTCTGTGGGGAAAAGCTTAATTTCGCTGGGGAGTTCAGGAGTTTGGGTTGTATGTCAATCTATTAGGGAGTTACCCTAGGTTGGGGAGAAACAAAAATTAACTGTTATCTGGTTGATTTTCAAGCTTCAAGACAACTTGCTGGGGAAACCTGGAGAAACTGGATGATTTCCGCTGTGGGTTGAAAGTTTCAGCTCCACTGGGTATTGGTAGTTGGTAGTCTCATCTCTGTTGGGGATCTATAGTTCAAAGTTTTGGCTCCACTGGGGGATCTTAATGACGTGTTGTAGAGATTTATCATGGAATAGCCTAAAGACGTTTTCCTAATCTTTCTACCTGTCAGTAATTACTCTTTTTCATCATGTTTATTTGTAAACAGTAATTATGTTCAGATGCATATGTTCATTAATGAATCATTGGATGTTTTTGCAAATAAAACACAAGCGTAAAGAAAAAGGCAAATAGTTTTATGTACTTTGAAAGAGATATCTTTGTATTTACTTTGAATAAGTGTTTTGTACAAAGGAGACAGACATCCTAATAAGAGGATGGTGTCATAAAAAATGAGAAAAATTTATAAAAAGAAAGATAGCTATGTGTAATAATCCCATGGGGTTCCCATTCTGCTATAGCCTTTGTATCTCTGAATATCTTATCCGTCTGTTGCTTCATCCGAAGATGATTGAATTGATCAGAAGCTCCGAGTTCGTCCGTGAAGAGATTGCCCTTAAAGTGATCCGACGAGACATAGTTGTATGCTTTAATTCCCTAACTTTTGCCTGGACCGCCCTTTCGGGTTTTCAGTCCACTGGGAAACCCTTTTTTGCCCAAGTCGCCCTTTCGGGTTTTCAACTTGCCGGGTGTACAGATTTTTTTGTTTTATCCCTAATTTTTGCCCGAACCTTTTGGTTCACCGGGATGCCCTTGTTTTGCCTAGGTGTGTCAACCTAGCGGGTCTCTTATACGTAGTATCTTTTGACTATGTCTGCATTCGCAGGGTGCGGCAGATCGTCGTTGTCCATGGTGGTTAAGATCATTGCCCCACCAAAAAAGATGTTCTTGATTACAAATGGTACCTCATAGGTAGGAGTCCATTTTCCCCTGGGATCACTTTGTGGCAAGATGATGCGCTTGATCACAAGATCTCCAACTTGATACACTTGGCGTCTGACTTTCTTGTTGAAAGCTTTGATCATCCACTTTTGATACGTCTGACCATGGCAAACAGCAGTAAGTCTCTTCTCGTCAATTAAGTTCAACTGATCAAGCCGGGTTTGGATCCAATCGTCTTCACTCAAACCAGCATCTTTCATGAT